AAATCGCTGTTAACATTGATAGAAAAATAATGTATTTTGAAATTTCGATAATGTATGCATAATGCATATATCGGATGTAACACTAATTCGTTGTTTTTAAAGAGGGAGACGCCAGCATCGCTGACGTCAATAATATCACTTCATTGAGTACGTTCCATGACATTTCAAATTAATCCTTAAATCTTTTAAATGTCCTTGTGTTTCTAAAAGGTTATTTATTTTTACATTCTACAATTGTCCTCACCCACTGAACTGTAGTGTCATGCGTCCAAACGTCTGATTTATTCCAAAATTCAAATAGAGTTCTAATCTCATTTTAAACAATTCGTTTTAAAGTTTAATTTCGTTTTACTTATAAATATGAATAATATTTATATATTATATAATATTTATATGAATAATATTTATATATTATATACAATAAGTTTTTATAATAATGGATGACAGCCACAAGTTATTGTAATGTTACATTCGTCATTAGTGCTGATAGAGCCAATGTATGTTAATCTTGAATAATAAGTACATAAATATAAGAAAAAATATTTTATGTATAGATTTTAACAAAGCCACAAAAGTAACACAGTTTACTCAAGTACATGTAAATAAAAAAACGTCCATTTGACATCGGATTTCTATACAATATTATTTTATTTTATGAAAATAATCAGATTATATTTTTGTGTGACTTCCATAATCCTTTGTAATTAAAACAAACAAAAGTATTTAGAAGAATTTTATGGACAGAGTGTAATCATCAGGCTATAAAATTAAGTAAGTTTTTTATAAATAATATCAACGCTAAATAATAAAACAATGTCAAGCTTACAAGCTTATAAAATATGTTCATGTACATTAGCGTAAAAACAAAGTAAATAATTTGCAGACTAGTTTGCTAATTAGTTTGTATTTAGTTAGTGGAATGTGTACAAACTCTTACCGCACTGCAAATAGTCCGCTGAAAAGATATCACTTAGAAGATTACTCCATTGTTTAGAAATAATTTACTTCAGTATACTTTAATAATTTTGTAAAACGAAGCGTCTTCAATAGTTTTATTACATTTATGACTGATTTTAGGAGAACTAGATAGGCTTGTGTATTTAATATAGAATTTGTTTATTTTTATTATAATGTAAAAAATATATAATTATTTTCATAATGATAAAACTTCGAAATGACCTTTAAAATTCATAAATTGATTATTGCAATTTTGAAGACAACGATAAAGATAGATTTTTTTTCCTGCCCTGATCCCACTTTTATGTATGGTCATGTCCTTCTCTTCCACAGAACATGTTGTAAATATGTAGTTTTGGCTAATTGTTTTTACGGCAGGCCGACTGTCTGACATCAACCCTCTTTGGGAATGCATTAATCAGTGATTTCTAAATACTCTTAGTAATAATATGACTCGGAAAAATCACATTAGTACTTGCTCGGGCCAGGATCGAACCCGTGCCCTCGTGCATGAGAGGAGGGCCTTGTAACCACTAGGCCACCACTGACTTAATTTATAAAAAAAATATTTATTTCCATTTGATATAAATCTTTCATAAAAATAATATTTCTGAAACAATGGTTAAACTTTGAGAAGTGTTTGATGTCATGCATCAAAAATGCATGAAAAACAAGGTTATACAATAAAAACTAGAAAACAACTAAAATATAACAATGCTTTGTTCTATTGTTATAGTGAGATTGTAACGATTAAATTTCTTTTATTTTCATTGAGCGAATAATTTATATGAGTGAATTTACAAAAGAAAACTAAATCGTGGTAACATCTCATCTCAGACAACACAATTTTAACCCTTTTGATCTTATATTACTAGATTAAAATGAAATTTTAATTACTGTTTTGTGTAGCAAAATTCATTTTAAGGTAATTGATGATGATACACTGATTATTGTAACAAATAAATTATAATTATAGTTGTAATAATAATACAGATTTAAGAGAAGAAAAAATTAGAATCTGGAATTTAAATAAGGTCTATATTATCCCAATCGTGCTTTCCACTACTGGAGTCAAACCTAAGCACTTACACCAAAGTTTAAAAACTCTACATTTACTACCACTCGCATACGTCACCATTCAAAAATCTGCGATTTTGAATACCTGTCGAATAGTACGTAAGTTTTTAGAATCTGATAATAAGTTGACTGACTGTACTATCTGACTTTTTTCACACCCCAAATACACTTGGTCACTGACCCGTGTGACGGGAATACCTGCACCTATTGTTAGGGAGATACATATATAGGATAAACATAATAATAATAACCATCATCATCAAACGATCCTCATTGAAACTAAAAATATTGCTTTTCAATTTATACATAACTTGAAAACAACGTATACTGCTAACAATAGCTACGTTATAGCCATAACAATAGCTGAACTTAATAATTAGATCGTTATTTTAATCTCAAAAAATTATAACACAAGAAACTCCACCCAAAACCGAAACGAACCTCTTTGTTAATTCCGTACAAAGAGGTTACCCATAAGGGGTCAAAGGACGTAAAGATCATTTAATGATAAATAAACTGAATCTTGAAAGATGACCACATTATAGACAGATTTCAGAATAATATTTCTCACTATTAATGTTTAATATTTTTTTTTACTTTTCAAATGTCACATTATTATACCTAGGTATTTTAATATTCAAGGTACAGCCAGATGGGCAGGGGCAAAATAATTTGGTACCTAAGGGTCAAACGAAGATGAGACGAGGCATATTTAAATCAGATTAGAATCATAGAGTTATGACCTCTTATTTTGTATACTGTAAAATCCGGTATCATATATTTTAATCAATTATTTGTTAAAGATTCTAATTAGCTTACAAATTAAAAGATAATAATATCAACCATTTACTTTGAAAAGATGAATTACAAAAGACTGGATAAGTTAAAATGTAATAATAATAGATTATGTAATGATAACAATATTGCACAATGCACACAATATTATAATATTGGAAATACGTCTTTATACCTTCGTGTACACAATCTATTTGTTCAATTAAATTGCAGGTGACATTACAATTAGGTCGTAAATTGAACGAGATCCTTCAAGCAAAAGGAAACGGATCGTTAATTACTTAATTAATGTTTTATACATTGCCAGTGTTAAATTCTCTATGCATGTGTATTGTGTATGCTTTTCTACCATGTTTTTATTATTTACCTTGTACTAAGCAGTTAATTAGATGGTAATTTTATTAGTTCTTTAAAACCGTCAATACTTTTCGACGGTTTTAAATGCAAAAAATACAAGCACATATTAATATCACCAAAATTTAAGTATAGGGTGTCCCAACTAGAACGCAATTTTTAAATTTTAAATAAAACACTGATATTAAAAAAAATATCGTGAAACTTTATTATATCGTAAAGTAGATAGAATAAGGTTATGTATGGAACAAGATATCGTGCAGATGGCCGCCGCGGCTTTGCAGGCACACGCGTGAACTTTGAATGAAATTTTCAAGGACCGTTTTGCATAAATACTGCGATATTTCATTAATACAGCGTCCAATTTCCTCTTTTAAGGCTTGAGTCGACGTCGGCTTATTCGCGTGAACCATCGACCCCGAAGAAAATAATCTAAAGGTGTTAAATCGCACGATCTAGGCGGCCTATTCTGGTCTCCAAAACGGGAAATAACATGACCAGGAAATTACTGATGCAGCAATTGAATTGTTTCTCTGGCTGTATGACATGTTGAAACCACATGCCGTCCACATTCATTTCTTCGATTCTAGGCAAGAAAAAACTGGTAATGATTTCACGATATCGAACAGCATTGACTGTTTGCGTTGTTGTTGTTGTCTTTACATCACTAACAGACTCAGTTTCGGCAAATTTATTCAGTATATTATAACTCTTTACAGTTGACTCTTTTTGAGTAATTTGCGAACTGTAGCCGCAAAACTTTCACCATTTTGGTAAAACAATTTTACAATGAAAATGCGTTGTTCATTCGTGTAGCGCTCCATTTTTACAAACCTTGTACCTTCTACAAGCAAATAATAACAATTGTTCAAATGTCAAACAATGGCACTTAAAATGGAGCCAAAGTTAAAAATTGCGTTCTTGTTGGGACACCCGTTATATACTATTAAATTTTTAATTGGACTTTTAGTGCATTATTTCAAATATAAGATGAAACGTAATTTCCAATTCCAAAAAGAGTTCCAGAATCTTGTAAATCAACTTTATTGAGACTTAAAATCTACGGAACACCAACAAAGCCAACGCCTATTTCAGGAATGTTAGATTAGATCGTAAATCGATTCACATTTCAATTTAAACTCTAATTTACTTCAACTCGATACCAGAAGTCAACCCATGGCTATACGTAAATGCAGTTTTAATTATATTTTGGTCTAATATTTCCACGATATTCAATGCTTTATAAATTATTATAGGTATTAAGCTTTCTGTTAAAACGTTTATTTTCGTATAGCTTGTTCTATAACAATCTGCAATAAAAGAATTTAAAATACCATAAGTCAATTATGAAAGATTTTGTTACGTGTGTCTTTAATATATGGTAAATATAATACTTAATAAATAATAATTGACCTTAATATTTCACTTCATTAATTTTTCATTTCATAAAACAGGAGGAAATAACGCCTCCCGACAACTATACGAACAGTATACAGAAGTAAAAACTACGGTACTTTTCTCACAATTCTTAATATATTCATTGTTGTTTCTATCCAAGTGAGTATTTTTATTTTAGCTTGATGTGGGTTATTCAGTGAAATCCCACTTCTCGTTCGGATTTTGTTAAGTAAAATATACTTCGACGGACATTATTTCTTAAAAACAGGGTACTGCTCAAATATACATTTATATTAATATAATTATTTTAACAAAACTGTTCTCGAACTTGTATTGGCTCGCTTATATTTACTATAAACTAATATTCGCTGTTCTCTAATATTTTAGGTTTAGGCTTACACTATTTGCTTGTTATTACACTATGTTAATACTAATTTGCCTTTCTTATCGACTATGCCAACACGCTGCATCCAACCGATGAAGCCTCTGTTTTGTGTCATATCAGCTTTGCGTCCACCCACGCATTCTGATAGAGGTCTAAGATGCCAAACTAGAAAGTAATTTTATTGTAGTTATTGCAATAGAATTTATACATTTTTATATAAAAATTAATACTAACCAAGTTTATGCGAACAGGAATTTAAATCTAGTTGACAGTGGTTTAGAAATACTTTTCTTGCACCGACTTCATTTATTGCGCATAGCGGATTGTAATCATCAGTACAAGAGACAGGACATTCATGGTCACAATTACGGCCCTCTACACTCTTGGTCAAAGACCTATTAATAATACATAAAGAATTTGTATGAAGAACATGTGCTACCCAATAGGGCTTATTTGTTATATCACAAGGCATGTTTGATTTGATGGCAAATGTTATCTAATAAAAAATTCAACATCAAAAGATGACATTGTTTCGCGTGGAATTGTTAGAGATCAAAGTGTATATGTGAAGAGATATTGTTTTTTATATTATTGCTATTTCTTTCAATATTTTTAATACATATTACGAAAGGAAATAAGTGAGATATGAGTTTCAGAGACCCATTTCATTCTTTCGAAATTATTAGGAGCCATAGGTTATATAATGGGTTTGTTATTAAAATAAACAATGAATGATTAAAGGGTAAGACTGCAAAAAATATACAATGATTTACCTTACCTTCTAGAAACAATACTTCGTCTAGTATCAATGTTTTTTTCTTTTAACTTCGGACCCGGCATGTACATTGTCATAGGAGCCCTAGAATCACGCCGTGCAATACCTTTGCAGTAATCCATAGAAACTACTGAGTATCCTGTAATAAAACAATGATGAAAGTTAAATAGACTGAAAATTTCAAATTAATATGTTCATAATAATCTAAACATACTATTTATTTCATTCTGGAATCCACAATTAACCTTTCTAAAGAAACAATCATTGAGGAATAATCGATACTTCCATTGCTTATTTTCTTCTTTGCCTCCACAAACAGATGAAACTGTACTATTGCAATCAAGATCCTTGCAATTTAATTTTTTATTCGTAGTTTTTTTCCGACTTGTTCTTATTACTTCAGAGTTTTTATTTAAATCCGTTTTTTTCTCGAACGCTAAAGGTTTTTCAACGTTCTCGTTGTTTCGCCCAGATATAAACAAAATTTCTCCCAGAGGCGATTCTGAAAAATATTGTATAAGTGTTTATGAGAACTAAATAGCGTAATACATTATAAATTACTTTTTGATTAACCATATTTGGTTCTCTTATTGTTTAAAAGAAATATAATGATCCATATAGTGATGACTCACCAGTATCTGCCATTTGAATATTTCTATTTCGCATTAGGTCACTAGTTCTTGTTTTATCGATAACGTCGCTTATTCTGACATCATCAAACACGTCCCCATTACGAAACACTGGTTTATCATTTGGTACAAATACAACATCTTCCACTGGTTCATCATACATTACTGTCGTAATTGGTTCATGTTTGGTGCTCCCAGTTTGAGTGACCGGTTTCGGTATAACCTTTGCTTCAGCATCACTATGACTGCCATACGCAATGAACACATTTGTATCATTTCTATCAGAATGCCCACAATATATTGACACAATGGGTAACATAAAAAAATATATATTTCATTATTCTCAATTTATTTTTATATTAATTAAAACACTTCTTCTAGTAAATCGTATGAAGAAATATTATTGTGAAAATAATTTACATTACTTTATATAATGCCAAGTCGCAATACACTGGATATTGTAATTATAAAATCGAATCAGCATTGTGTGAAGTTGGACCATAATAGGTATGTTTACATTTACGTAACACTTTTGTTTATAAATTGTAAAGAGGTTTGGATTTTATATAAGGAGTTACCTCTTATTTAAAACAATTAAAATGAATTACAAAAATGTATATATGAACTATTAAATATTAACGCCATAACTGTTTAAACGATAACGATATTGAAACACAAAATGTTTACCATTAAAATAATTTGTCTCCTAATGGTCGTAATTCCAATATCGCACCATTAAAATGATAAGCCTTTACCTAGCTGTAAAGTGCGAGAAACCAAAGGTTTACCAAAGGCTAAAAGCTTTGTCAAACTATTTTATGGGGTGACAAAATTGAAGTTTAAAAGTTTTTTTTAAATGTAAAATCGTGTTTTACCTCTGTTTCACTAGCATTTGGGTGAGAAGTAATAAAATGCACTTAAATTTATACTCTGATTAGGCTTTGATCTATGTATGTATTTTTATGGATTACATTTTTTTTTACAGGTATTTCACACTTTAAATTCAGCATCAATATGTATGTAATGATATACTTTTTTATTTTTACGAAGAAAATCGCAATCAGAATAGGTCTTCTAGATGTTATTATTATATGTGCGGGTTGAAGTAACGGCACTGTGTTATGTTTAGTTAAAAATTAATATTTAATAAATTTTATATTATGAAAAAATGTTTTATACGTATAAATTTGACTGTGTCAAATTCTAAGTTCATCCGTGTGTAAAAAAATTGGCTACACTTATCAATGTTGTGATGATAGATAAAATGAATATTTTATGTCAATTTCTTAAAATTTACACTTTTTTTTGAACGTCAGTTAAGACTTGTTAATTGTTGTACTACAAACAAAAATCATTTTAGTTAAAGCTTTGGTATTATAAGAATAAAATTTAATCTATTTGAAATGCAGTAAAAAAAATAAAGACCAAAATCAAAACAAAAGATTTACAAAATAATATCTACACCAATAAAATAACAAATTGTGGAGATTACGGATTAGACTTATAATAGAAAAATAACATTTCTGCTCCTTTTGTTCACTTTATATAGATATTAATCTCAATATGATATAGGAATCTGAGTCATCGTAATCGGAATATCGCATTTCGGATATGGATTGTACAGTTTAATCCTATTCGATTCCTTGTCCATGTAAACATATTTTTATGTTTTACGTATAAAAAGAATATGTAGATTATTGTTACGTAAAAGTAGGATTATAGTTATTGCCAAATGACGTTTTTCAAGAATTATAGAGAATAGTATTTTCTATTGGATAAAGAAATGGTGATAGTTCTGTCCCAAACATTTATTTCCCCATCCCAACCATAGCTCTTTAAGACTCCTACTTTTTCAATACCTTTTAAGGTCTTGAAACTCAGTCCTTATATTATTTTATCTATAGGCAGGAGGTGTGAATAGAAATAGGAAAGATTCAAATTTCAAATTGAATATTATTATCAATACATGCTTTACTAATTGTATATACATACTAGCTGTGCCCGCGACTTCGTCCGCGTAGAATAGTTATTTTGGGCATTATATTTATTTTTGTAATAAAACTTCTCAGCTTTTTAAGTAATTATAGCCACGACTTTGTTATTAATTTAGACAATCATTTTTAAAATTTTTAAAACAATATAATTATTTTAAAGTACTTCAGCGTAAATAATTATATTTTTAGTTTTATTTTTTGTATCAGAAGAACTTATTGTTTTCTCCGCAACCCGATCTTGACAATGCGACATATATTTGGCCGTGCGAAAAGCAGTTTTGTCTTAAATCGATTCCTAATGTTTAAATGTTTGCCCCTTGATTTATTTATTGTAATGTCAAAAGATAGCTTATTAATGAGAAATTGAATTCTTTTAAAATAAAAATAAAAAGGTAAATCATTTGGAATCATTGAGATGCGAGTTATAAGAACTGTTTGAGCAACTGCTGGACCAGTCAAAACTATTGCAGCGATCACGTCATTGCGTAGAAATTTGATATGAAGTTGGATTCCGTTAGATAAATTTGGTGGTTTAAGGTTTCTAAGCAAAATTATTGTGGAACCTGTTTTTATAATGAGATCTAAGATATTACCTACCTATTATTAACTTGAGAGAGTATGGGGGAAGGCCACTTGGGTTCAATTCAATAAAAAAACTCCTGTAGGTAATAGACCGCATCTTGATCCATTTCATTATCAATAGATGTGTAGATATAAGGACACCGCTCTATGGATTATGGTGCATTCGTCCCGGGTAATTAAAATGATATCTTTTAAAATTTTCCCATAGGGCCACACTACACAGTCAGGTTTGGAGTTTACACTATACACTGCATAGTTGGCAGTTAACACCATACACTGCACAGTTTCCAGTATACACTGCACAGTTTCCAGTATACACTGTACAGTTTGCAGTTTAGCCTATATACTGTACAGTTTCCAGTATACACTGCACAGTTTACACGATACAAGGTATAGTTTGCAGTTTACACGATACAGTTTGCAGTTTACACGATACACGGTACAGTTTTGCAGTTTACACGATACACGATACAGTTTGCAGTTTAGACGATACACGGTACAGTTTGCAGTTTACAGGATACACGATACAGTTTGCAGTTTACACGATTCACGATTACTGCTGTTATACCTCTCGCTCCCACCTCAACCGCGTACTAATCTACTACGAACCTATTTCGAGTGAGTACGAACTCACAACAGATATTACGAGCTCACAAACGATTGTGAGCTCGTAATATTTGTTGACCTTGATGGTATGGTCTTTGGGGATGTTGGTTTCACAAGGGACCGTAAGCTCTATCATCACTACGCGCTTTAAAATTCGCGAAAACAAAAATATATCCGGTCTGGAGGCCGACGCACAAATATCCTCGAGGATTTTATATTGTTTTTCATACGTGTCCATCATTAAAGTCCAAATATATTATAATCTTTAAAGTTTTTGTTGAAATTAAGTTATGTCAAAGACAATTTTATTCACAATAGACATTGCACGCACATGCGTAGTTCAGCTACGCACAATCAACATCGCGACGCTTAGTTAATTTTTAAGTTACCCAAATTTTTAAACTCGATATATCTTTTGAATGGAGTATCCGATTAAAATAATTTAAACAGCAATATAAAGGTATTGAACTACTGTTAAATAAAAAGTAAGTTATTTAGATAAGTATAAATACCATGGTATGAATATCGACATCTTATTTTCGTTGCCGATTCAAATAGTTTGTTAAACTATAAAAGTTTTTATATTGGCGTAACTATAATACTTTCACGGAGTCTGAAATGGAGGCGATTCTGGCTCGCCTCCAGAGTAAGAAGAGCGCACCGGGTCCGGATGGGGTGCACGGGAGAGTTCTCGCTCTCTCCCTGGTGCACCTCGGTGGAGCCCTCAAGGAGCTGTTCGACCTCTGTCTGAGGTCCGGGCAGTTCCCGAGGGCCTGGAAGGAAGGCCGGCTTTGCCTTCTTCCAAAAGGCAACCGGCCTCCGGACTCGGCTTCGGCGTGGCGACCGGTGGTTGTGCTGAACGAGGCGGGGAAGGCCCTGGAGAAAATAATGGCCACCCGTCTCGTTCGGCATCTGGAGGAAGGCTCGGGCCCGGGACTGTCAGAGTTCCAGTTCGGGTTCCGAGCCCATCGGTCGACCGTCGATGCTCTCAAACGCCTGAGGGCGGTGACGGAAGAGGCGGAACGCAGAGGAGAGGTAGTGGTTGCGGTGTCGTTGGACATCGCAAACGCGTTTAACAGCCTCCCACACAGCGCGATACAGGTGGCACTCGAGTATTTCGGAGTGCCCCTGTATCTGAGGAGGCTGATAAACAGCTACCTCTCCCAGAGGAGGGTGGCAGTCGAGAGCCGGAGGGGGTCCATAGAGTGGTGGACAGTCGAAAACGGCGTGCCACAGGGGTCGGTCCTGGGACCGGTCCTGTGGAACGTCGGATACGACTGGGTCCTGCGGAGTCGTCTCCTCCCCGGGATGGGTGTCATCTGCTACGCCGATGACACCCTCGTCTTATCCCGGGGACGAAACTACAGGGAGGCGGCGCGGCTGGCCGAGGTCGGAACTGACCTCGTGATCAGCCGCATAGAGAGGTTGGGGCTTCGGGTGAGAATAGACAAAACCGAAGCCCTCCTCTTCCGCGGGGCTGGGCGGAAAGGACCCCCGCCGGGTGCCACCCTTCTCATAGGAGGAGGGAGGGTCAGGGTGAGTCCCACCATGAAATATCTGGGGCTCACTCTTGACGGAGGGTGGACCTTCGTGCCTCATTTCAAGGAACTGGGGCCGAAGGTCGTGAGGACGGCAGGTGCGCTGGGAAAATTCCTCCCGAACCTCGGAGGACCCAGCGCAGCTTGCAGGCGGCTATACTCTGGGGTCTGTCGGAGTATGGCCCTGTACGGTGCTCCCGTTTGGGCTGATCGCCCAATGAGCCGCAGGACCAAAGCCCTGCTGCGCTCTGCGCAAAGGGCTCCTGCGGTGAGGGTGATTAGGGGGTACCGTACGGTCTCCTGGGCCGCAGCGACTGCCCTTGCCGGCGATCCGCCTTGGGATCTCGTGGCGTCGGTTCGAGCCGAGTTGTTCTCCTATGTCTCGGGTAGGAGGGCACTCGGCGAGAACCCTTCGTCGGAGGAGATCCGAGCGGTTCGTCGGCAGGGGGAGGAGCGCCTTATGCGGGAGTGGGGGGAGGACCTGGCGGAGCAGCCGTACGGTAGACGTACAACGGCAGCGCTTCGCCCGGTCCTAGAGCGTTGGATGAGGCGGAAACGCAAACCCCTCACTTTCCGTCTGACGCAGGTCTTAACCGGGC